GGCGTCTTCGGAACACTTAAAGTCGTTCCACTCTGACAGATTGCACTCACACTTGTCGGTGGAGCAAGGGGTGTTCTCAGTGTTGCGCAGATCCGTAGTGGCGCCATCCGTAGTACACTCCGCTGTTTGCTTGAACGAGCGCTCCCGGTGGTATTTCCCACTCTGGCCACAACCATCTACCTCGTTGCTGACAGAACATGTCCAACTGCTCCAATCGGTTGTACCACAGCACGCCATAGCGCTACAGTCGGTACCAGTTCCAGTCTCGATGCCATTCGTATCTACCACGACGCTATCTGGAAGTACACAGGCATCGATGTCGTAGCTGCGTGTTCTCACATTGACACCGGACGAGCCGCATTGGAATGCATCAGCGGTACATTGCCAGCTTGACCACGCTGATGCTTCACACACACAGGACTCAGTCTCGCATTGATCACTCTCGCGAACTAGCTGGGCATTCTTGGTCTGACAGTCTCCATTCGTAATGTAACCACGCGTCGAAGTGAGAGTTCCCACAGAGCTGCACGCTGACTCAGAGCAAGTCCATTCAGACCAGCACGTCAACTCGCACTCGCATTTCGCACTCCAGCATTCTTCGCATTTGTCCTCTTGGAGATCCTTCCCCGCACCAGCCGTGGTGCACGACTCGCCCGGGATGAACTCACGCTCACGCAGGTACTCTCCACGCATGCCACAGCCATCGACCTCCTCGGTTACACTGCACGTCCAGGGAGTCCATGAAGTAACAGAGCAGCAGCTTAAAGCACTGCATTTGTCACCAATCTCAGTCTCAATGCCGTCTTCATCGACAACGATTGTAGGAGCGGTGGGGGACTGTGTGGAGGCGTCGTATTCCGGAACATCTTTAGGGATACAGCAGTGCTGCATGCCCAGCTCATTGCAGTACGCTCGGGCCTCTCTGGGTAGTCCAGGCTTGTTGCTAGAGTCCCTCCAGTCCTTGCCACGACAGCCATGTGTGCACTTGCCCTGCATCATAGTGCAGGCATCCTTGGTCTCAGCGGCGACCGGGAGTTCACAGTTATCCAGGTCGTACTTGCGCGTTCTCACATTACTGCCTGAAGATCCACACTGGTCGCTGTTTGCGTTGCAAGTCCAGTCTGACCACTCCCCGGGCTCACAGACGCAAGCATCAGTGGCGCATACACCATCTTTCCGGCGGAGGTCAGCATGCTTAGTGACGCAATTGGGCTTTGTGATATAGCCACGGGTCGAGTATCTGGTTCCTGTCGATCCACATGTTGTTGCACTGCACTGATACTCGCTCCAAGGACTCAGCTCGCACTCGCATTTGTCAGTCTCACACACCTGCCCATTGCTATTCACCAGATCTGTGTCAGCACCAGTGACCATGCATCCCGCTGTCTCGATAAAAGTACGATCTCGGATATACTTTCCCTGCAGTCCGCATCCGGCCTCGTTGCTTACAGAACAGGTCCAGGCTGACCATGCGGTTGTGCCACAGCAGTGTTTGCTCGTGCACGCGCTACCTTGCTTCCTCTCCACCCCGTCATCATTGATGACAACATTCGCTGGCAGCACACAATTGGCCTCCATGTCGAATACTCTCTGTCTCCAATTGAATCCGTTTGAACCACAGACGTCAACATTCGAATCGCATGCCCATTGGGTCCAAGCAGATGGTTCGCAAAGACAAGGCTCGGTCTCGCACTTCCCATTCTCTCGGCGGAGCTCAGCGTTCTTCGGCTGGCAGTCAGCAGTGACAATGTAGCCACGTGTGGCATACATCACACCCACCGTCCCACAATCGTCTTCGCTACAGCGATACTCGCTCCATTCGGTGGTCTTGCACTCACACTTCTCTGTGTGACAGGGAGTGCCCTCGGTGTTGCGGAGATCGGTTTTGGCTCCAGCGATGGTGCATGTATCATCCTGGATGGAGGTCCTGTATCGTGTCAGCTTACCAGTGAGTCCACAACCATCAGACTCTTCCACAGTGCAACTCCAATCACTCCACGAGCTTGTACTGCAGCATTTCTTGGCGTAGCATGTTTTGCCTTCGGCGAGCTCAACACCGTCGTCGCCGACTACAACAGTTGGCGGCAGCACACACTCATCAAGGACGTACCTGCGCTGACGCCATTCTTTACCGGAAGTCCCGCAAAGTTCAGCATTGGCATCGCATACCCAACTGGACCATTCGGACGATTCGCAAGTACACGTTTCAGTCTCGCATTCACCCCCTTTGCGGATCAGCTCGGCATCTAAGGCCTGACAGTCCTTGCCGGTGATGTAGCTTCGACTGGAAAGCTGATGACCCTTGGATGAGCAGGCCTTAACGCTGCACGACCAGGGACTCCACGATGTGGTAGGGCACTCGCATTTATCCGTGTGGCAAGGCTCGTCGGCCGTAAACTTCAACACATCCAATTCGCTTGCTAGGCAGTTGTCGGTCTTGATGTGTGTACGTTCGTGGAATAACTGGCCCGTGAGGCCGCAGGCATCAGACACGGAGCAAGACCACTCCGACCACGGTGTTAGACTACAGCAAGACGGACCACTACAAGCACCTCTGACCTCCAGACCACACACTTCCCCTTGTTCATTCTTCTTCACGCCCTCAGGTAGGACGCAATCATTCGTCTCGGAGAATACACGGGTACGAACTGATTCGCCTTTGCTTCCACATACGCTCTCATTGGCTGTGCAGCTCCAAGTAGTCCAAGGCCCGGGTGTACAAGCACAAGGGGCTGTGGAGCACTCCTTGCCTTCTCTGTGAAGCTCTGCGTTCATTGTTTGGCAAAGGGCATCCACTACATACCCACGTGTTGCCTCAAAGACCCCGGTGGAACCACACTCTGTGACACTGCAGGTCCAGGCACTCCAGGGAGAGATTGGGCACTCACACAGATCTGTGGCGCACATCTTGTTATCCGTCTGCAAGAGGTCCACCTTCATCACAGGCTCAATGCACTTGTCCGACGTCACGAAGTTTCGCTCGCGCTCGTATGTCCCTTGCTGTCCACACTTACCTGAGACTGTACATTCCCATTCACTCCAACTGGATAATACACAGCACTCGGCGCTAGAGCATGACTTCTGAGTCTCGCTTTGAATTAGCTTGGATTCCAGACTCTTTGTAACCCCGCTACTGGGCGGTAGACAATTCTCATCGTCTTCGACAGTACGCTGGCGAGTAACCGAACCAGTCAAGCCACAAGTTGATAGGTCAATGTTACACTGCCACTCAGACCACGGTCCCAGCTCGCAAGGACACTTCTCCGTCTGGCACTTGGGTCCTTCTCGCTCCAGAGTCAAGACTTTCTCCTTTGAGATTTGGCATTTACCATCCTCAACTATAGTACGAGTGGACTGGTAGATACCAGTAGATCCGCATTGAGACACACTGCAGGTCCAAGCGCTCCACTCACTGGCAACACAGCACTCTGCTGTGTTGCAAACTGACCCTTCTTGGGTTACGCTTATGCCTTCGCCATCGCAGTCTGAGGCATCGTTATCTTCGTCCAGAGCACGTGTGCGCATGCTCACTCCGACCTGCCCGCACTCGCCAGTAACTGAGCATTCCCACTCACTCCAGCTTCCAGGTGTGCAGGGGCATAATTCGGCCTCGCAAGCCTCTCCCTGACGATCCAGTACAGCATCGCCTCGTCGGCAGTCCTTTTTGACAATATAAGCACGCTCACTTTCTACCACGCCAACGGTACCACAGTCAGTCTCAGAACAGACCCATGCTGACCACTCGGATAGTTCACACACACACAATTCGGTGCCACAGGCAACATTGTCGTCATCCTCGAGCTCAATGTCAGTTGCCTCGCATTTGCCATCCTCAAAGAAGTAGCGGCTGCGGCGCATGGTGCCTGTCTGACCACATTTCCCCACAACTCCACAGGTCCAACTGCTCCACTCACTTACTTTGCATGGACAGGGATCTGTCTCACATGCTGTACCAGTTTCAACGAGCTTGGCGTCCTCGGGGGCAAAGCAATCGTCGTCGGATACTAAGCTTCTCTGCCTCTTGTTGAAGCCAGTGAGTCCGCAGACCACCTTGTCGCATGTCCATTCCGACCAAGCGGTATATTCGCAGGCTACAGGTGGAGGGGGGGGTGGTGGTGCCTCTGGATCCTGGCAACCGTACGCATCGAAGTTGTCGAAGGCTATACATAATGCAACAAAGTAGACAAGTTTTAGAATGAGCAATGGAGCCTGTGGCACAATTGAATGTTTACTAAATATTTTGCGTAAATCGTTAAACCCTAAATTCTAAAACTAAACCATAAAACCCTGTTGTTGTTTTTTAAAAAGCATAACCTCCTATTTGTTTTTAGGAAACAAAACGGTGCAAAAGTGAATTTCCTCATACCTAACCCCACGGCTGTAGGTCGCCCGTTGGGGTATTGGCCAACATAACTGATGGTGATGTCCTTGATTGCACACAAAGCGCTACCACATTTTGGCCAGGTTGGCTCCGACACTGCGTTGAAGCCCCAAAACCAATTGGTTGAATCGTAGCCAGCATCCCAGCGGTTGTATTGAGAGTTCCACTTCACACGAGCCGGGTTACCGATGGAGTCTTTCTTCGTAGGATGAAAAGGAAGTAACTGATTGGTAGTGCCCATAGGCGAGTCCATCTCCTTCAAGATCTGGCCCTGTGAGCCCCAGGCAGTGACACGCCATTGCTCCATTCGTCCATTCTTGTCGTTGATATTAGCAGTGCTGCCATCAATATCGTAGATTTGTCCACTGGCTGCCAAAGTGTAGCTTTTGTAGGTGATGAACAAAGTAGGCACCTGCGCAATCTGGCGATCAAACCAGCTGTCTCCTAGATTGTATGTACGCATGAAAAATTTGCCGATCTGCGCAGAGTAGGACATCACCGTGTCATGGTTGCCGGAAGCGCTACCCACAAAACCAGTGTTTGAATCTCTGCCTCTCATCTCGAGGATAGGCTTCATCACCTTCCCATTACTATGGTACAGGTCACACTCCTCAGTGGTATACGTCTTCGGAGAGCATTTATTATTTATGACCTTAAATGTAATTTCGGGATGGTAATCTATATCCACAAGTTCATTGTCACCGTCAGCATTCTCGAAATCAATTGGACGATGACAGCATTGCTGGTGACCGCACGTTTGCGATTGTGTTTCCTCTTTGGCTTCGGCATTACAACTGTCAGTGGCAGCTAGACTGCTTCTCTTACGAGTCTGTACGCCTAGACTTTCGCAGGATGCGTATGTGCACTCTGTCCAATTGCTCCACTCCTGGAAACCACACACGTCACATTTCTTTGTCGAGCAACTATCATTCACTTCCCGCTCGGCACTGTGTACTCCAGTAGTGTCCACTCTGGTCCTGGAAAGAGCTCCATTCTGTCCACACCGGCCACTGACGCTACACTCAGGCTCACCCCATTCACCCCACTCGGGCGTGGATTTTTCGTATGTGACGCCTTTCGAGACGTCTGCACAATCGAATGCGTCGAAGTTGTCAAGTGCGATTTGCTCTCTGTTATTGAAATCGGCAGGGAATAGTCCCACATACTCGAACACGATGTACTTTGCATAACATTTCTCGTTGCCGCACTTGGGCCAGGAACTGATCCTATCTGCATTAAAAGACCACTTCCAAGTTGTCGAATCATATGATGTTCTCATAGCCCCACTCAACCACTGTGTACGAAGTGATTGTTTCAGTGAGTCAGTTTCAGAGTTGTGTACATTTGCTTTTATCTCCCAGTCACCACGCGGGGAATATATCGTAGCTAAGGTCTTCATATACTTATCCAGGACATTAATCTTCCACTGTTCCGCTCTCGCATTCGACCCTGAAGCTATCCCGTTGCCGTCGATATCGAGTAGGTCACCGCTGACTGACCGTGTGCCTTCGTCATCGTATATCACAGCAAGATTTGGTATATAGTCTAGGTCTTGCCTATTCTCGATGCGTAGGTAGTATTTACCTATTTTGCTAGAATCAGAGTTCTTCACGTTGTCGCCGTCGTTTACAGCAGATCCGTAGAAACCGTTGATAGAGTCTTTATCGCCCACCTTCTCGAGAACTGGTCGCATATACTCTTTCCCGATCCTGATTTGGTTATAGTTCTTATCCACCACCCAGAAGCTGACGCCAACCTCCTTTTTTCCGTACGATTCTGGGATGTCACTATTGTCACCATCGTATTTTCCACCCTTACATGACGTGGCGGCACTCTCGAAATCAATCAAAACCCCACCATTGCGACACTTGGAAGTGTTGTCTGATCCATTGCCACACTTGCTTTCAGAATTATATTCGGATTTGGCCAATGACAGGGAAGTCATGACCCAAATGGTCAACAATGCGGAGAAAAAATGCATGGTTGTAGTACTCAATTACAAATCAGTACTGTTCAGTTGATTGTTGTTCACAAATGATTATTTAATGTTTAGTAGTATACTATTCCAAATGTCTGTAACGCACACCCTTTACAAAAGGAAGTATGTTGTTAAACAGATCTGATGGAAATATCTGATGAACAGTTGTCTGGATTCGCCTATTTATGTCGATTCAAAATCATTTTACGGCTCCAGTTTCTACTCGCAACTGAAGGCCGTTGATATTCACAATCTCAATTGCTTTAAAGAATTTCGGGCATCTGAACTGAATTTTTTCTCTTGGAAGACTATGTGTCCCACTCTCTCTCTGAGAGCGAGAGGGATGACAGCGAGAGGGACACTGTGTGAAATATTTGGACTCGGATAACTTTATCCTTGGCATCAGAGCTCTAAATTTTCAAAGACTATTTAAAATCTGCTGGCCTTCTGGCACGGTATCACCTGGGCCTGGCCCCGCGCGTACGTGAGACAAGATTTTTTTCAACAAAAAGAATCCACCACTAAAGACTCAAAGAGATAAGAGGCCCAGGGGCCCAAATGTTTTTCAAAATAGCCTCGGTATTTTTCACGGCCATCTGGACTTGTCAGTCGAACAGTAATTGATTTTTTTAGAAGAAAATAAAATAAGGGAAAATTGCCGTCCTTTGACCGCATTACAGTACTATTTAAGTATCCAGACGGCCGTCTATTTTTATTCTGTAATTTTTAAAAACAGGAAAAAAACAATAAAGCAAAAGAGTAGATTCTGAGCCGTAATCTGTGGCATTTTGATATTCGGCACGGTTGCATACGATTATTTTAAAATACATCAATTAAATACAGTCTTTTCTACTGATTTTTTCAACGGAGGTCTGGCACTTCAGAGTTCAGAGCTCAGGCTTCAAATAAATTTTCTTTTGTGTTTTTATGTTTTGTTTTTTATTAAAAAACAATTCCAACATGTGTTTTTATCACAAGGACCATGGTTCAGTGGTTTCTGAACAGTGAACACCCAGTCACCCACTCAAGTCTCAGTTACTCACAGATAAATAAACGTCGCCGATATTTGTGCAAACGACCTGTCAGACATTTGTAAATAAATAGGACATTTCGGTCGTTGGGTCTGCTGGAGCCTGTGTCGGCTCCGGGTTGGGGTTTTACACTTCAAATATAACCATTAGGCGGTTCCAAGTGGAAAAATCTTTCTGTCGAATCCTTCCTACTCTTTTTTCGGATTTGGCTTGTTTCTGTTGTCCTAATTTTTATACTGTACACATAAACCCCTTGACCTTTTCCCCTTTTAGTCACTATGTATCTTCTACTTTCTAATATATTTTTGGGCCTTTATGACGGTCAAAGAATTTGGTTATGGCTTTGCTACGAGTTGGCCACATATTGACCACGTACTGGCCACGGTTTGACTGACTGGCCACGCGCTGGCTACGGGTTAGCTACGTGGTGGCTACGGGTTGGCTACGTGGTGGCCACGTACTGACCACAGAATCCTGAACCCTTCGTATACTGTTGTCGGTAGGATTGTAATATTTTATAGGTAAACATCTACAATACACACCTATATTGCCTTTTTCTTCTTAGTACCATAGCAGCGAATTAATTAACCTTTACAATGAGTATGTAGCTAGCTGTTGCAGAGTGATCGAGGACTAAATCATTATATATACATATATATATATATATATATATATGCGTGTATTGAACCTGTGTATCGTGCAACTGACACCAGACAACATTGCAACCGTCCATCTATTTAATCTGTTTTTGACGGGCTTTAAATTGCCTGTATTTAAGGCACAGTATACACACAAAAAGACCCCCTACCCTAGAATATAGGGTTTTTGACAGCCCTGAGATTTTGGTATGTCAAAAAAAGAGAAATCAGGAATCAGTCCTTCCTCCTACTTTATTTTTGGATCATTTGCAGCAGAAAGATTTTTTGTTTGGGAACCGCCTAACCGACATGCCTTTCGAGCCGCCGCGAACGAACTTGTCGTATATGTACGACCAACCCAGCAGATAATCAGATATTCAGGGGAATTTTTATTTATTTTAACGACACCAAATGAAAGAATTCAAGAATAGTAGCACCTTGGCGCTTTACTTATTTTAAAACTTCAATACGTTTTGCGTTATTTTAAAATGTACTTTGGAAAATACATTGTACATACATATATGGGTTTTTTTACCCTCTCTACTTCTAGTGTATATGTGTTACTGTTTATTTTTTAAACCCCCCGAAAAACTCGCTCTCGCCAGCTGCAATAAAAATCAAATCTAAAATAAAAACTATAGAAATAAAAAAATAGATCTGAAATGAAAGAAAAATATTCTGTCATGTATTGATATCTGGATGGCCTCACATATGTCAATCAGTCAATGTGCCTCAAAATAGCCACGATAGCTCGCAGCGCCATATTTGCCACTGCCCCAGTCCACTATGAGTTACCCCAACAATCCTACTGAGGTTAGACCAGGCAAGTCGGTATGGTCGATTACGTATACAAAATGTATGTACACGCACTCTAATAGTCGGTATACGTGTGTCGAACATGGTTGGTCTTCAGAGTGAATTGGATGGTGCGCTACACACAGATGCATACACCCCCGCCAGCGCTGAGATCATGCACTCCGCAGTAGAGGAGCTTAGAGATGAAGACGAGAGAAGCACAGACAACGAAGTGGTACCAGCCGTGATAGACATCACTGATGATGTGGAGATGGATGTAAGGGTGGACAGTGATGGCGACCGTGTTGAAGACACTCATATTAGCAATAGGACGCCTGTAGACAAAAGCTTACATTCTATATCCAAGGGCACTACCTCGAAATCGCGTAAGAAATCAAAGCTGTTTAAACAATTAGAGTCGTGCATAGGAAGTAAAGTTAGCTCAGAAACGCCAGCTGATCCAGCGAACGCAAACAAACCCCTGAGTATAAATGGGGGTGGTTTGGGAAACCTGTGTGTGCCATCAAGCCCAAAAGACGACGAAGACTGGGATGCGGAGTCCAGGGACTTATTTCAACTCGGTAATATGAAGCAGCGGTTAGCCATCCACGCCGATGAAATGTTTCTCTCGGTAAGTGTTTTGGTCATATAAACAGCACGTGTGCCCTCTGCCGTACAGTACTGATGTTTCGTTCTACACTACACTAAAGTTTCGCTCTATACCTCTTTCAGTATGCACTACACCTGTACCCCTTTCAGTATATACTACACCTGTACCCCTTTCAGTATATACTACACCTGTACCCCTTTCAGTACCGATATTTCAGTCTATACTCAATATGTGCGCATTTTAGTACTGAAATTTCGATATTAATTGGGTTGCCTCTTTGGGCCTATTCATGGTGCCGTGTGCTTCCCTGTGTCACAGTGGTGTCCTCCAAGTAAAAAGTACATTGTATTTGATGGTGTATGTAGTATCCAGCTCGTCTCACTTGTGTGAGCCGCTAACCAAACGAGGGGTGATCGAGGTAAGCGTACATGTCGATTCATTCTCGTCTCGTACTATCAACTCTGTGTTGATAAGTCATGATGTTGTATGCGGTCGTTTTATCACAAACCTGCTTTAGGCTTCACTGGCAGTCAGGTCATGGATAACTTCAAGCATGTTAGTATTGATTCACAGTTAAAGGGATGGTTCTGTGAGTTTCATAGTGTGAAATAAGGCGTTCATTCATGTCTTAAGTCGACGAAGTTTTTGGAACTTAGGCTGTTTTTATTATTATTCTGGATGTAGAGATCAGGTGCGCATCCATAGTACATAAACGCCGACAAATAGCCGATCTACCCTGATTTTCGAAACTAAGCCTTAGTTTTATATACTTAACAATTTGTTCTTGTGTGTACGCTTACGTCTCTAGGTATACACACTCAAATATGATGGATGTGCGAGTTTTTTTTGTTTTATCTGTATGGCTGTATAGACATCTTGGACTTGTATTTCCCAGTCAGGGGTGCTTTAAATATGAATACGTGCCTGGAGAAGTAGATAGGGGTCTCCAAAGTTTGTTCGTATAGGCTTCGGTTCACACTAATAATCTGTGCATCACTTAAGGCGTCTATTGTCGAGCTGTAAACTTGTCCTCTCAGTGTTTTCCACTTTGACGACCATGCATGTCCAGCCATCACGTTACCTATATGTACTAGCACACAAGCTTGTATACATATCTTTATTTCCTTGCAAAAGTGATTCGTAATACATTTTTTGGGAGTTGTGTGCAAGTTCCGTATGTGATGTAAAAGTTAAATTTTAGAGTGTAGCTTCAAGGCCTATCCCATCTCTTTGATGGATAGCTCATCTTTTACATCGTGGAGGGTCTCCCTTGAAGATCGCCGCCTAGCGTACACCCATATTCTTAGGGACTCAGGGTAATTAAACGATACTAAGTATTGATATATGCTGCCATAAAACTCGCATTTCACCTTCAAACTCACCAGCAGTTATGTTGTTGTGCAAACGTGCAGTTGCCTATGCCTATTTCTATTCTGAAGATTGCATGTATTTCCATATAAACGTTTATTACTGACTCCACAAGTGTGTATATCATCTATTGCTATCTCTACATGTGCCTGTATCTTTTACTACCATCTCCACACGTGCTTGTATCATTTATTACCATCTCCACACGTACTTGTATCATTTATTACCATCTCCACACATGATTGTGTCGTTCATTACCATCTCCACACATGATTGTGTCATTCATTACCATCTACACACGTGTTTGTGTCATTTAA